AGTTTCAGGTCTTGCATTAAGGTCTTTCATCCATTTGGAGTTGATTTTTGTTACAGGGAGAAAGAAAAATATCTAATTTCATTCTTCTATATGCGAATGTAGAAGGAATGTGCCAGTTTTGTGGCACAGTTTTGAAGAGGTTGCCTTTTCTCTAGTATACATTTTGGCATCTTTGCCAACATTGGAGTAGCTGTAGCTACATGACCTTATATTTGAGTCATCTATTGAGTTTTAATGCTAGTAGTTATGAGTAAAAGGAGTGTGCTACACTTATACTCCAGGAGATGTATAATTAGCTACCTAATTTATGTCTTTTACAACTGCCTCTGTTTTTAAACACATCTATGTTTATCTTGAAATTATAAAATTGTTGAAAACTTTCATACATGTATAAAATGTATCTTGATTATATCCTTCCTCGCTCTCTTCCTCCATTGCCCTTGCCCTCACCTCTTCTCACACATCTCCCTCCCTTTCAACCTCATGTTCTCTTTTAAAAATATTTGTAATCTCCCATTCATACTGCCAAGGACAGGTCCATACAGCATTGTTTTTGATTTCCTATTGTAAATAAAGGGAAATGTATACAATGTCCAGAGTCGTTAGTATCCTGCAGATGAAGGAAGAGGTTCCTTGCCACGGGAACCCAGTTTAAGTGGCACCAACCTTGATTTCCAGATGGTGCATCCACAAAAGGAAGTGTGATGATGTCTGCGTCATAAATCTGAAGAGGACTTGGGAGAAGTTGTTGCTTGCAGCTCAAGCTGTTACTGCCTGCTGATGTCTTCATTATCTTCTCAGGAGCACTGGCCAGCAAGGCATGCTGATATTTGCTGCTGCCACCAGACTCACTCCAGGTGCTGGCTGCTTTCACTGGCCAGGTCCAAGCAGACTTTAGGGAGCCTCATCTTTTGGCGGTGACTGATCCTAGGGCTGACCGCCAACCCCTTGTAGAGGCATCTTCTGCCAACCTGGCTACCATGCTCTGCATGATGCAGACTCTGCTCTGCTCTATGTAGACATAGCTACCCAAGGCAATGACAGAAGGGAGCTCACTCATTGGGTCTGATGTTGTGGATCCTGTCCCAGGAAGTTCTGTGCATGCACCATCTTCTGTGAGCACCCATGGGAGGTCATGCCCAGTCTCTACATCTACAGAGACCCGAGGAGACTGGGAAGAACAAGCCACTGCTGAAAAAGTCTGTGCCATGGAGGAATTTGGGGATGAATGGACTGTACCAGCTCCTGAGTTCACTGCTGCTCAGCGATATCAGACTGGTCTGAAGGTGTGTGGGTATCTTCTGTGCCTATCCAACAGATCTCCACTGAAGACCAGAGTGCCCAGCTGTCCACTGAGGACAGGTCTGCAGCTCCCACTGTACAGGCCACTGAATGGTTATGAGCTGTTCTGCAGACATGTGAACAGAGAGAAAGCAGGCGGAGGAAAGTAGAGTTCTAAAGCTTATATGCATACATACACACATGTCTCCACCCGGGGCATGGCCAACCTACTAGTGGCCCCTTCTCAGAGAAAAGTGATTCTCCGTCTCCAGCAGCTGTCAGCTGTCAGAAGCTCCTTAGCCCCTCCCCTACCCCTACAATGTATTTTCATTAGATCTATCCCCTCATTTCCAAATTTTCCCCTATATGTCTCCCATTCTCCCAAAGTCATGAACGCTTTTCTTATACTCACCCAGCCCACGAACTGCTGCCTGTGTGTAAATGGGTGTAGCACCATCTACTGGAACGTGACTAGCCTCTGGGCCACATCCTCTCCTTCAGTTGCCAATAATTCCTCACCCAGATGTGGGATTACATAATCCACCTCTCTCTTATCCATGCTGGGATTTGTTTATCTTTTAGTCACAAATTTATTCTATTTAACTTCCAGATCCACACATATAGCCCAAATCCGTTATTTTAAACTTTTTAGCCAGTCATCACTTAATCATGCTACCAACGGGATGTTTGACTCATTTCCTGTGTTTGTCACTGCAAATATTAACATATACATGCCTTAGCACTTTAAAAATGTACAATAAACTCACCAACCTGACACGGATATATGAAAGGACATGTCATTCTTTTTTAATTATTTATTCTTATTTTATGTACATTGGCATTTCGCCTGCATGTATGTCTGCGTGAGGGTGTCAGATCTTGGAGTTACAGACAGTTGTTAGCTGCCATGTGGGTGCTGGGAATCGAACTGAGGTCCTCTGGAAGGACAGTCAGTACTTTTATCCTTTGAGCCATCTCTCTAGCCCAGGATACGTCATTCTAATTTTAGCAGACATTGGTGTCTTTCTCAAAAGAGTGAGGCTATTATATCCTTTCGGTTCTCTCTCTCTCTCTCTCTCTCTCTCTCTCTCTCTCTCTCTCTCTCTCTCTCTCTGTGTGTATACATGCATGTACATGTGTATGTATGTGTGTCTCTGTGTTTGTATTGTGTGAGGTATATATGTATGAATGTATGAATGTATGTGGGGGTGGTTATGTGTACACCTGTATGTACAAGTGTTTGTCTTTGTGTGTGTGTGTGTGAGCCTCTTGATTGCATAGTCCCTCCACTCCCCATATATATATATATATATATGTATAATTACAAATAAAATAAATGTTTCTTAAAAAGATAAGACCACTTTAGAAAAAATAACCAAGTGCTATTTTTCTACTTGTGAAAACTGTTAAGGGGCAACTCTTTGCCTCATTTTTAAAAATTGAAAACAATTTCTCATATACTATATTCTGATTATGGTTTTTCCTCCTCCAGGATCCTTCCCTCTCCCTACTCATCCAATTTCATATCTTGTTTCTCTTTGTAGAAAACAGACAAAACCAACCAGAATTAGAAAAAAAAAGGAAAAAGAAAAAAAAAAGCACAAGAAACATCAACACACACAAATCCATAAAAATACAAAATAGGAAACCATAATATACAAGCAAAAGACCAGAAAGATTAGAGAGAGACAGGGGGGAGGGGAAGGGGAACATGACCTTTTAAGCTTGTAAATTAAAATTGTTTTAAAAGGTACCATGACGCAGGATGCAGTGACAAACACATGCAATTATCACTAGGGAAGCCAAGGGAAGAGAACAAAGGCAAACTTAAGGCTGGCTTGACCTACACATGATGTTCCAGACCAGGCAGACCTGTATATAGTAAGACCCTTTCTTAGCAGACAGCCCTGTATCAGTCAGTGCACGTAATCATGTTAGCTGCTGCAAGTGATTTCAAATACAGTAGGGGGCACTGTTGTAAAACTTGTTCCTGTAAAGAGGTAAGGATTTGTCTATTCTGTATGTATTGCTGCTTTTTTTAAAAAAGTTTGGGCCAGAGAGATGACTTGGTGGCTAAAGTATTGCTGGACAAGCATAAGAACCCAAGTTTAGGTCCCTAGCATTCTCATGAAAGCCGAGTACAGTGGTGTACATCTCTAACCCCAGCACTGAGGGCTTGGGCTCACTGACCAGCCTCTACCGATATGTTGAGATTCAAGTTCAGTGAGAGCCCCTGGCTCAAATCAAGTTAAGAAAAACAGACCAGAGGTTATGAATTTGAGAGCAAGGTCGTACCTAGGAGGAGGTGTGTAACACAAATAAATAAATGACCCAGAGACTGATATTGGAGTTCAGGCTTCAAGCTGAATATCAGAAAAGCAAAGAAAAACAAAAGTGTGTGGTGTCTTCAGCCACGGGGTGGTATCATCTGGTTCTGAGGGTGGCCCCTTCCCTCCTCTAATCAACAACTCACAGGGAGGTATCTCACACCTGGTACCATTGGGAATTCCATTTAGTAACATCACTTTAAGGCCAAGACCCCTCCCTTTTTTTTTTTTCAAAGACAGGGTCTTTCTATGTAGCTATGGCTGGCCTGGGGCACAATGATCTACCTCCCTCTGTGTGCTTTATGAAAAGCTTATGCCGCCACATGGGGCCCAAGACGCTCTGTTAAGTCTTCTCCTTTAAACTAGTTCTTCTCTCAATTTGGTGGCTCACCAGTCACATGTGGAACATTTTAAAAAGGGGAGTTTAAGGACTCTTGTCTCAAAGTGCCATTCCAGTGTGGGTCTTGGTAAAATCTTGCTGATGTTCATAATAATGGGTGAATTATAGAATGTAGTGGACCTGAGCATAGCCCGATATTTTTGAAGTTGTCTTTGAATGGTGTGATATTTGCTCTTTAGTAGGAGACAGAAACCCTTGTTTGAAACTCACTGAGCGTGCTCGCTTTGGCAGCACATATACTAAAATTGGAACGATACAGAGAAGATTAGCATGGCCCCTGCGCAAGGATGACACGCAAATTCATGAAGCGTTCCAGATTTTTTGCTCTTCCAAAGGTCCTGAGTTCAATTCCCAGCAACCACATGGTGGCTCACAACCATCTGTAATGAGACCTGGTGCCTTCTTCTGGCCAGCAGGCATACATGTAGGCAGAACACTGTATACATAATAAATAAATAAATAAACAAATAAATCTTTTAAAAAGCTGTTAATGAAAATCTGTAAAGCATTTTTAAAAAAATATTAAAAAACTCACTGAGCAGGTTTGTGTATAGTTACAATTTTAAATGGGGAGGCATTTAGAAGTCAGCAATAAGACATATGATCTTAGCAGCTATTTTAAAGATACATATGATGCTGTCTGTAGAAATGTAATAATTACAACAAAATATGGAAATATATACTACCGTGCTATTTAATATCAATCATTAATTTTCTTTCTTAGTATAAAAAGCAGCATAGGTCTGATTATCTTCGTACTGAAATGTAAATACACTAAATGAATTTGCCCCATTGCAATTGGACAGCTTTTTCTCTCTCCTTCCCCAGTGAGCAGTCTTTGAGGGGGATGAATCTAAATTTAGTTTGTGATCTCTTGTCATTTGATTATTTTTACATTTCTTTTGCTTTATTAAAGATGTGGCTCTTTTTGTTTAACCTTAAGTTTCTGATTTAATGACGGATGCATAGATGGTTGTTTGTGTTGTTTTCAGCTGACTACCTAGCTCAAGCATTTGATTCCCTTTGTTTGGACTTGAAGACAGATGAAGGAAAAACCTTATTTTTAGAGTACCAAGCTGTTCCAGTAATACTAAAACACCTGAGGATATCCAGTAAAGGGCTCTTATCCAACGTCATCGATAGTCTGCTTCAGATGACAGTAGAATCAAGTAAGTGTTTATGTTTATGTATGTAAAGAAATGATGCTTCCGTCCCCTCCTAATCACAGCATGTTAACTCTACATACCAGGCACCATTTCAGCTTTTAAATGGTGCCTATTTTTAAGAGTCCTTATTTAGGTCAGCACTCAGAACAAGAGGTTTTGTTACGGCATCTTGATATGTATATGTCATATTTGTTGTTGTATGTTCCTCCCCCACCACCCTCCTCTCTGCCCCCTTCTCTAGTTGGCTCCTGATCTTCCTCTGGTTAGTTCTCGTCTGTACCCTCTTATCATGTGTCTTCTGTTGTCATTCCTATTTCCCACAGCCCTTAAGATCTCTTCTTCCCCTCTTATGACTCCTTCTCTAGTTAAGTGTCCTGAAAACACAGACATATAGATGTAGCTATATACATATGTATATAATCTAAAATTTAAGTTCCTTGTATGATAAATAATGTGGTATTTGTCTCTGAGTCTGTTATCTCACATAACATAATCCATTTGCATCTGTTTTCTGAAAATGTCATGATTTTGTTTTTCTTTATGTAAAATTCCCTCGTGTATATATATGTACCACATTTTCTTTTCTTTGTTTAATAACCAAATAGGCTTTTAGGCTGGTATTTTCTTTTTATTTATTTGTTTTACAAACTGTTTTGCATCATAGTTTCCCCTCCTTCCTCTCCTCCCAGTCCCTCCCCCGACCCTCCTCTGTTTCCACCCCCTAACCCATTCCTCCATTTCTGTTTAGGAAAAGGTAGGTCTCCGATGAATATCAACAAAACATGGCATACCAAGATGCAGTAAGACTTAGTAAGCACTTCCCCATGTATTAAGGCTGGGCAAGGAGACCCAGTATGAGAAGGGTCCCAAAAGTCAGCAAAAGAGTCAGAAACAGCCCCGGTTCCCACTGTTAGGAGTCCTACAGGAGGACCAAGTTACACAACTGTTGTAACATATATGCCGAGTGCATAGGTCAGTCCCATGCAGGCTCCCTGATTGTCAGTTCAGTCTCTATGAGTCCCTATGTGCCTAGGTTAGTTGATTCTGCTAGTTTTCTGTGGTGTTCTTGACCCTTCTGGCTCCTACAGTCCTTTGTCCCCCACTTCTACAGGACTCCCTAAGCGCTGTCTAATGTTTGGCAGTGGGTCTGTGTTTGTTTCCATCAGTTGCTGGGTGAAGCCTCTCTGGTGACTACTGGGCTAGGCACCAATCTGTGTGTGTAGCAGAATGAATATCAGACATCATTACACTGACATTTCCCCCCTCCAGCCGTGTTTGGTTCTATCCTAGGTCTCTGTGTCTTCCAGCCTGTGTACCACATTTTCTTTATTAACTCATTTGTTGATGGGCATCAAGGGCTGCTTCCATTTCCTGGTTATTGTGAATAGTACAGCTCTAAACATAGAAGCACAAATATCTCTGGTGTGTTGACTTAGTACTGTGGATGGGTGATAGGGTGGTTTTATTTTCAGTTTTTGGGGGGATTTCCATACTGATTTCCATAGTGGCTGCACAAGTTTCTCAGGGTTTTCAAATTCCTGGCATGTTGCTCTTTGAGATTCAGGGGCAATAAATCTCAGGAATCCTCAAATATTTCATAATTACGATGACTTTACACCTCTTACTTCACTCTGTGTTAATTGGATAGCTAAAATTCATACATAAAGAATAAAATACCCTAAGTTTAGTAGTATTTACAAAGAACTTCATCCTACAGGAATATTTAAACAATAAAAAACATAATTTAAAACTCATGTCTCGCAGTCAGGTTAACAGCCTGTCATGGAATCACAAAGTGGCCGCTGCCCACTGAAGGTTGTGTTTTACACTGAGAATGTGTTATGCCTCCAGAGAGCATTCAGAGGACTTACTTGCATATAATACATGTGCGAATTCATTAGTAAGCATTTTCTTTATTAGTCTTGTTCCCTTTCTAAACGTTATACTCACATGTATATTTGTTTTTATGTATACATTGTACACATTATGGACTACAATCCATATACAGGGAGAACATGTGTTTGTTTGTTCTTCCTGAGATTGGGTGAGCTTGGTTAATATCATGCATTATAAATCCATCCATTTTCCTGCAAATTTGGTAATTTTGTTTTTCTTTAGAGCTGAGTAATATTCCATTATATATGTATGTGTGCCAGAGTTTTATTATCCATTCACTTCTTGAAGGGCACCTAAGTTGCCTCCATTTCCTTGCTGGAGTATTGAATAGAGCAGCAATGAACATGAGATGAAAATATCTCTACCACATGATAAAGAGTTCTCTGTGTATATGACCAGGAGTACAGTAGCTGTATCACATGGTAGTGCTGTTTCCAGTTTTCTGAGGAATCGCCAAGCTGATTTCTGTCATGGTTGCATTAATTTCACTCCTGCCAGAGGTGGATGAGGGTTCTTCTCTCTCCTCATCCTCTCTGGTATTTGTTGTCAGGTTTCATGATGACAGCTACTCTGACTGGGGTGAGATGTTATCTCGGAGCATTTACCTGATGACTGGGTGTGTTGAACATTTTTAATGGTTATTGACCATTTGAATCCCCCTCCCTTAACTTGCTGTAACTCATTACAGCATTACCCCCATTGGTTTGCAGCTTTATTTCCTAGGTATCTGCTTTCTACAGTTGTCTGTAAATTCTGTTTATTATCTGCCCCTTGTCTGAAGTGTAGAGGGTAAGGATATTTTCCCATTCTGTGGGCTGCCTGTGTGCTGACAGTTTCTTCCACTGCACAGAAACCTTACTTTCATGGTTTTTGGTGCTAACTTTTGTGCATTGAAGTTATGTCTGGAAAGTTCTTGCCCACTTTGGCATCTTGAAGAGTATTCCTCTGTTTTTAATCTAGAAATTGTATCTTTTATTTTTGTTTTCTTATTTTGACTAAGTTTTTGATAATTTTGTATAGTGTTTTGTGCTTTGATCATATTCACCCTCTCCCTGAACTCATCCCAGATCATCCCTCCTTTCCTATCTACCTCAGCTTCAGTTTCCTCTTTTCCCTCAAGACCAATTGGTGCTGCCCAGCTATTCCCGAATGTGTGGTCTTCCACTGGAGCATGCCTGACTGACCAGAGGTCACATTCTTAGAGGAAAACTGACTCTCCCTCTCAGCCCCTAACATTTGCTCATAGCTCCATGACTAGGGGTAGGATTCTATACCCAGCTCCCCTCTCCATGCTGGGATTGGGATCTGTCTGGTCTGGTCTTGCATAGGTCTCGTGTATGCTGTCACAAATGTAGTGAGATGATGTGTGCCGCTGTCCCACTGTGTCCAGAGGATACTGCTCCCTTATTGTCATCCACTGCCTCTGGCACTTAGATCCTTTCCTTCCGCTTCTGCCTCAGTGATCCCTGAGCCTTGAGAGGAGGCGTGCAGTGTATGTGTTCTGTTTAGGGCTGAGCATTCTACAGTCTCTTATTTTCTATTCCTTGACCAGTTGTGGGTCTCTGTGTTAATCATAATCTAGTACAAATGAAAGCTTATGATAAATCATTAGGAATCAACTGAACACTATGTCTGTTTAGCAAAATAATAGTAGGGGGTCTTCCCTAGGACCTGTGTCTTGTTTAGCCATAGGTTCTTAGCCTGATAATGATGACAGGTATGGGTTCCATTTTGGGGAATGGAACTGAAATCCAATTTGAAAATGGTTAGTAAAGAATGGCTCTGGGGTTACATACAGAAATAAAGATGGCACAATAACCGGAAAGCCTGTCCTAGCACAGGTGATGATGACTCAAAAAGTTGCATCTGTGGAGCTGACTACACAACTTGCAAGCCACTCCATGAGGAGCAATGTTAGGGAGGTGACTCGCTAGCCTTTGGCCTCCCTGCAAAGGGAGTGTTTCTATTTAGAGAAAGTGGTTCTCCGTCCCTCGCATAGACGCCTTTCCTTTTCCACCAGCCTGTTTCTGCTTCCTTGGCTTTACTTACTGTTTTAGATTTTGTCGCTTCTATAGTTTGTTTTAATCAATACAGTCTCAAGACAGTAACATACAAGCCTTCCAAGTTGTGTTTATAGATTTAAAAAGCAAGATGAATGCAAAACTATCATGGTTTTATATCTTTTATGGGAAATAACTTGCATTTAGGGGAAAAAAGCCATTTGCAGAAGCTTTTTACTAAAGAGTGAATTGTTTTAAAGGTCACACTTTGACAGTGTGTGATTTTTACAAAATTTTTCCCCACACTTCCTTAACTAGCCAGTACCAGTTAACTTATGCTCTAAAAGTATTTTCATATATTATCCTGTAAGAAACACAATAAATGAAATATGGCTTCTTACCTCTGTATGCATCTCTATTGGGTGATTCTAAGAGGCACAAATTACTAAGTAAAAGGATGTGTACATTTAAGGCTTTGGTATGAAATGTGGGAAGTTTCTATTATTTCATTCTTAATGAGATTGAATACATTATGTTCTCATATAACTGAGGTTAGTTGTGTTCATTAGTAAAAATACTAGGTAAACCTTTTCTAATTGATATATAAGAACTCATAGTAATTGTGTCAATCTTAAGGCAAATATATATAAATTCATCTCTCCTGTCTTCTCTTCTGTTTGTAATTTCTCTTTTATTTTAATTTCACTTTTAATTTTTAAGTAAAATCATGTTATACAAACACTTAAATTAGAAAATATTTACTTTATTTTTTGAGATTATAATTACATCATGTCCCCTTCCCTTTTCCCCTTCCAAACCCTCCCATACACCCTTCTTTGTTCTCTTTCAAACTCAATGTCTGTTTTTCATTAATTGTTGCTATATTCGTATGTACATAAATAAACACACACCCCTAAATTTATGAATACGAATACAACTGCTCAGTCCGAATAATGTTACATGTATACGTATGTTTTCAGGACTGGCTGTTTGGTGCTGGAATACTGGAGAAGACTAATTCTCCCACTCTCAGCATTCTTAATGCCTGTAGTTGTTTGTGTATGGTTGAATCCTCATGGCTTTTCCCCCTCCCACATTAGTACATCTGTTGTCCCTGTTTAGCTCATGTTGAGGCAGCCATGTGGGTGAGACTTGAGCTTCTGACATCCTAGGAGACACAGTCTCACAGCAGACTCCTTGATCCTTTGGGTCTTATAGCCTTTCCGCCTGCTTCTTCATGATGATCCCTTAAACTTTTTATCTGTAGATTTTCAATCTATTGTAAGTCTGTCCTTCTTTAGCTTTTATGCTGAAAGTGTTCTTTCCCATCTAATACTCAGAATTGTTATTGGGGTTTTAGGGAAAAATAATTTACTACTTCAATGGAACTTCTTATTTGCAGTCAACTAGACTGGGCTTCCAGTTAGAAGCTCATTGAAAAAACACTTTTCCCCTCCTTTCAGACATGCTTTGTGTTAGGTAATAACCTGCTCCTTGTGACACCCAACAAGAGCCAATGTATGTTTTCACTTTGCAAATGATGATTTTACCCTCCAGTTTAAGGATGAAAGAATGAGAGTCCAAGCTGGTATTGACTCACAACTCACATAGTTCTGGTTTTGCTTTTTTAATTTTCTTTTATACTTCTTAACAGTAAAACCTGGTGACTTGTTTTGCAGAGTCCTTGCAACCTTTCCTGGAAGCCTGTAGCAACTCTTTTTTTTTTCGTACTTGTTCTGTGCTGCTCCGAACCCCTAAGCTTGATCTTCACATCCTAGAAAAGCTCAGTATTATCCTACAGAAGCTTTCAAAAATCAAGTAAGAATATCTTTTGTAACATTTTTAACTGATGATTATATTGTGATCACTAATAGGGCTGCTTTTTCAATCTCGATCTCAAACTAGTTCAGCTTGATTATTGCTTTGTTCTAATTCATTATTTCCAGTCTACAGATGTAGAGACAATATATTGGGCAGGTGCTCAGCAGGTAAGAGTAATTACTGCATAAGCATGAGGACTTGAGTTCAAATCCCCAGTACTCATATAAGATGCTAAATGTGGCTGCAAGGGGTGGAGGCAGGAGGATCAATGTGGCTTGGTGGCCACCAGCATAACTCCAGGTTCAGTAAGAGACCCTGTTTCAAAGGAATAAATGAGAGAATGAAAGATATGATGCCAGATGTCTCCACCCACCTGAACATGCCCACATGTCCATACCATACCACACACACACACACACACACACTTTAAAAACATACACATAGATTTAATAATAGACTGTCTTTGAAACGATAGTTGTTTCTCCATTGTTTCAGTTCATCTAAGAAGACTTTAAATCCAGAGATAGCATGGAAATCCAAGAGCAAGGTTTTACTTGCACTGTGGGGAGAGGGGTCACATGATAATATAAGAACAAATCACTGCACACTGACATTTTATATATGACAGGTGGAAAAAAACAGTGATAATAAAAGTATATTTTTGTAATTCCTTATTTATTCACTGAAGTACATACTTCACAAAACAGGCAAAATAGTGCACGCCTGTGTACGTGTGTGCATGCGTGTGTGTGTCTACATATGGAGGCCTGAGGTTAATGTTAGGTATCTTCCTCTTCTTTTTCTTGAGACAGGGTCTCTCACTGAACCTGGAGCTCACTGATTGGCTAGGCTACATGACCAATGAGCTTCAGGAAATCACCTTGTCTTCTATCTCCTTTAATGCTGGGTTATCTGATAATTTCTCTTGAGGCAAATATACCCAGAGAAGAAAATAAAATAGGTGAACTCCCACTTTTCATTTAAGATAGGGTTATGGTTGAAATGAAATTACTGAATGCTTTCTCCTCTTCTTCTTCTCTTGTTTTTATTTTGTGAGATAGCCTATCTCTATATAGCTCTGGCTATCCCGGAACTTGATGTGTAGACCAAGCTGTCCTGGATCTCATATCTGCCTGCGTCTGCCTTGAAGTGCAGGGATTAAAGGTGTGCGCCACCACACCAAGCGGGGATGTCTATTAGAGAGAGAGTGGTTGAAAAGTAGTATGTTGCCACTTTAGATTCTTAAGAAAACTGGTCTGTCTAACTGTGGGAAAGGGAGGTTCCTAATTCCTCACGGTTGTTTTCTATTAGTGAATAGGGTTCAATTTTCAGGATATAAACTATTTCTCTTTGCCTGTAATGTTTTTCTACTTCAGACTTAGATCATAAAACCTACTTTTCTCATCATCTAAATCCTGTAATCAGCCATTTTCTCCATTGTTTTTAAAAACAAGGCCATTCTCTCACATTTGCATAAGTTCTCTCAAGTTTATAAATAACTAATAAAACTATTTTTTTACAGGAGTAATAAGAAGCTCTTTGAAGTTTTTACCATTCACCTGATGCTTCAGGAAATACAAAGAACAACACATCCAGAGCACGCCTTTCTCTGTATTAACCTAAATTCAACTCTGTTCAATCTGGGTTTGACAAAATGTAATCCCCTGGCCTCCAGTACAAACCATTAGAAAAGTGTGTGTGTGTGTGTGTGTGTGTGTGTGTGTGTGTGTGTGTGTGTGTGTGTGTGTGTGTGTGTGTGGTCTGTGTGTGTATATATGTTCCTTATCTGTGAAAGTATAAAAATCACCAAAGTATGATTCTACAGAGTAAAGTTACTGATAGCTTCATTTATCATGAACAATATCAAGAAAGATTATACTAATGTACAAGGTGGCATTTCCAGAATTCTTAGCTTTGGGGTTACTTTTTATGAAAGTATTTTAGGAAAAACCCTTTCTTGAAATTATGTGATTATTTGGAATATAATTTGTTCTTATGTGGAAATAAACTATGTTATCATTTTTCCCCTTAATATAGTAAAATCATTTCTTTTGGGAGAAAAAAAATTTTTTGATCAAGCTGATCTCAGACTCACAGACCACCTCCTGCCTCTGCCTTTCAAGTGCTGGAATTAAAGGCATACACCACCACATGTAGCCAAGTGCTTATCTTTCAATGATCTTTCATTGTTTTATTCTGTTTCTCTTTTACTCTTGTGGTTGTTAGGTGGGTGCTGTACAGCCCCAGCCCAAGCCCCAGCCCCAGCCCGAGAGTGCACATGGTATATATAGTATTCGTTTTATGAGATCAGTGCATATTGTTAAGGTTCATAATGTTCTCTTGATGTTGTTTTCTTAAACAACATGAAGTGATTGTCTTGTCGCTAGCTTTGGTTTCAAGCCTGTTTCGTCAGCTGCTAGAACAATGGCGTTTGCATCCCAGGTTCATTTATTTGGAACGTATTTTGTCTGTCCTACTTTGCTTTCTACTGCTGTGATAAAACTCTGACCAAAAGCAACTTGGGAGGAAAGGGAGGATAATCAGAATTGGGACTGAAGCAGGATCCTGGAGGCAGGAGCTGAGGCAGGGACCAGGAGGGATGCTGCTTATGGCCTTGCTCTCTGTAGCTCACTCATCTTGCTTTTTTATACAACCCAAGACTCCCTGTTGCTTCACCCATAGTGGGCTGGGCCCTTCAACACCTTTCATTAATCAATAAAATGTCCCACAGACTTGTCTACTAACTGGTACAGTCTGTATAACCATCTCTTCCTAACTTCAGAAAATTGTTATGTTTTTCTTTAGCCTTTAGAACTATATGCCTCTTCTATACTTATTACCCATAGGTTTGGTCTTTTCAGAGTGTCACATAAGTCACTGATACACTGATATCATCTTCTACTTTTATGTTTGTAGTTGTTTGATTATTCCAGTTCCTAGGCCTTATTCTTGAAGCTCAGATCTCGATCTTCTTTTTTCTTTTTTTTGGGGGGGGCAGTTGTTTTGAGACAGGGTTTCTTTGTGGCTTTGGAGGCTGTCTTGGAACTAACTCTTGTAGACCAGGCTGGTCTCGAACTCTCAGAGATCCTCCTGCCTTTGCCTTCCGAGTGCTGGGAATAAAGGCATGTACCCCCACTGCCTGGCCTTGATCTTGATCTTCTACTTGACCCATTCTGATGGTGAGACAGACTTTCCACAGAGCTTTTTTATGTAAATTATTGTATTTTTCATTTCCAACATTTCATATTATTTTTTCAGTATTTCTGAATTTTTAAAATTCCTTTTTCATGTCTAGCATCAGTATCCTTATTTCTTTTTTCTTTTTTTAAATATTTTATTTATTTATTATGTATACAGTCTTCTGCCTGTGTGCCAGCATAAGGCACCATATCTCATTCAAGGTGGTTGTGAGCCACCATATGGTTTCTGGGAATTGAACTCAGGACCTCTGGAAGAACAGTCAGTGCTCTTAACCTCTGAGCCATCTCTCCAGCCCCAGCATCCTTATTTCATTAAGCTGTTTGTTATGTTCTCAATCAGGAGATTATTTTCTCAACAACAAAAGATCACTGAAGCAATTACTCATATTGTTATATTATTAAATAAAACTCGGGAGTCAAGGTAAAAACCTCATCAATCAGAGAAGCGGCAGAGAAGCAACCAGTGACCTCCTCTCTCACTCACCCTCTTCTATTCAAAAGGGCCACGAATCTTTCTAAGCCCCTCCCTTCTACTCCCTGTGTGTTTCTCTGTACTAGGTCTACCAAAACTGCTATGACTAATTCTGGTCAGTTAGCAGCTAACATTGCCCTCTGGTTCAAGATAAACTTTAATGGCAGTCTTGAGAGTGTCGGAGTGCAATCAAAATATCCCACAACAAACCACAAACTTGCAACCCAAATTCAAGAACACATCAAAAAGATCATTCACCATGATCAGGTTGGCTCCATTCCAACAATACAGGAATGGTTCAACATACATAAGTAAACATGCAGTAAATGAAATATGTCACATAAATGGACTCAAGAACAAAAATCTCAAGGTTGTCTCAGTAGGTGTAAAAAGGGCTTTTGACAAAACCCAGTAGACTAACACCTGAAAAAAGTGGGAATAGATGGAATATATCCCAACATAATAAAGGTTACATGTGGCAGACTTGTAGCTAACATTATAAAATGAATTGAAAAATCAAAATATTTTCAATCAAACTAAGAACAAGCTATGTGTCATATTTTTCCATTCATGTTCAATATAGTACTAGAAGGCTTAGTCACATCAGTAAGACATGGTTAGGAAATGAAAGAAGACAAATAAGAAAAGACATTAATGTATCCTTATTTATAGGTTATGCCTTTATATGAAAGAGATTCTAAAGATTCCACCAGAAAAATCTTGGACTGATAAACACTCAGCAAAATGGCAGGATTAAAAAATCAGCACACAGAAACAACGGATACACTGTATACCAATAGCAAACATGCCAAGGAAGAAATCAGGAATAAAATCTCACAAGTGCCATTAAAAACATACCTTCTGTCTTAGTTAGGGTTTCTATTGCTGTGAAAGAGACACCATGACCACTGAAACTCTTCTAAAGAAAACCATTTAATTGGGGTACCTTACTTTTTCAGAGATTTAGTCTAATACCATCATGGAGCAGCATGGTGGCATGAAAGCAGACATGTTGGAAAAGGAATTGAGAGTCCTACTTCTTGACCTGCAGGCAACAGGAAGAATATGTCACTGGGCATAGCCTGAACATAGGAGACTTCAAAGCCCACCCTCTGTGACACACTTCCTCCAATAAAGCCATACCTACTCCAACAAAGTCTCCTAATACTGCCACTCCCTCTAAGCTAATGGGAGCTAATTACATTCAAACTACCACACCTTCTAACCAAGGAAATGAAACACCTTTGCACTGAAGAAAGAAGTGGAGGAAGGCACTAGAAGAAGTAAAGACCTCTTCATGGACTAGAAGATTCACTATTGTGAAAAATGACCAGATAGTCATTTTACCAGAAGCCAGTCTACAGATTCAATATAATCCTCATCAAAATTCCAGTGCCATCCATTATAAAAAAAAGAAGAAAAATAATCTTAAAATTCATTTGAAAGTTAAAAATCATCAGATAAATCAATCTGGGGCAGGGGGCAATCAGGAAAAACTGGAAGTATCACTGTATAGGATGTAACTTCATGTTATATTACAGAGCCATAATTACAAGTACAGTATGGTACTGGCACAAAAATAGACATGTAGATCAGTAGTGTATACATAAACCCACCCAACTACAGCTGTCTGGTTCCTTTTACTGTGATACCAACATAGTTGTTAGAGAACAGACTGCCTCTTTAGCAAAGGATGTTGGGACAAGTGGGCATCTACACGCACTTGACTGAAACTAGATCCCAGTCTCTCACACAGCACAAAAATTAACTCCCAATGTATTGAAGTCAATAATGTAACACCTGTTGCTATGAAATTGCTAGAGAAAGAGGCAGGAAAAACATTTGAAGATAAAGACATACCCAGGGACTTTTGACAAGGACTCTCATGCTCAGAAAATATAGTCAGCAATCAACAAATGGGACCTCATGAGATTAAGAACATTCTGTATAGGAAAAAAAAGTACTTGAGTGAAGAAGCCTACAGAATGGAGGAAAATCTTTTTATCCATTCATATGACAGAGACTATTTAGAGTATACAAAGAATTAAAAAATAAAAACTCAAAAGGGTCAAAGAATTGAGTAGGAAATTCTCAGAAGAAATACAGATGACCAATATAGAATAACCATATAATTATGAATCAGCTATCATCAAACATAATTTTTTAAAATAAAGCTGGTGACTGTGAATGACTTAAACATGGTAAGTGCCCCATTTACAACAATCATGTGTTTTTATTTTTTGACACTCTTTTTTACATGAGTGTGAATGAATAAAGAAGTAAAAAGGAAAGGACATGACTGGTCCTATGTATGGTGGAAGAGAAGGTTTCTTTTAGGTAAGAGGGAGAGCACGGTCAGAGGCAGGGATATCTGGGAAAATTCAGAGTGGACCAGACTGATCTGGGCCATGTGGGGTAGAGGGAAGGGAGAGAAGGGAACCAGGTGCAGCCGCCAGGAGGCCAAAGGTACAAGAGGGTGGGTAACCCAAATGTCTGGATTATATAGAGAAACCTCTTGAGGGAAGGGCAGCCCAGCCCTTGGGCTGGAGAGATCAGGGTAGAGGTCAGGGTATGCTGTGATCCATACCCTGTAACAGGAAGGGTCTAAGGAATGCTGGGAGAACCTGGCTGCCAGGTCTGATTCGATATGCTAGGCAGGTCAGCCAGTTTGTACTGGGTTTGAAACTTAACAGTTTATAATTAATTTTTTATTTTTATTCCCCAAGACCCTTTTATCCTCTCCTTCCTGTCAAAACCCTTCTTCCCAGCAAGCCCCTCTCCCACTTCCACATCTCCTTTCTGTGTGTCCCATTGGAAGTTCTTATGTGAGTGTTGATAGGAGGTTATTCTGGACCATAGGCAACATATCGGTGGCTACACTTCTGAAGAAAATGATATCCCCTACCTCCAGCAACCATCAGCTGCCAGTGTCACCCCAGGGAGAGGTGGAGCCTCAGGGGTCCCTGTGCCATCCATGATGAAATGATAGGTTTAGTCACAGAGAGATGTTATGCAGATAACCACAGCATCAGTGAGTTCATACAGCTATGTCATATCCAGAGAACATATTTTGCTGTACACCCCCTCATCCTCTGGCTCTTAGCATCTTCCCTCACCCTCTTCTGTACTGTTCCCTGAGTTTTTCCCAGGGGTGGAGATGTCCCTGTAGGGCAGGGTACTCCATCCCCTATCCTTAACACTTTGGCCAGTTGTGTATTTCTGCATTAATTTCTATCTCCTGTTGCAGTGTCTGGCAAAGGTTGCATGTAGTGTTAATTTTAAATGGCAGACTGGGAATTAAGAACAATTATGTTTCATAAACCATGTCTCTTTAAAAACTAGTTTAAAAAATCTTTTTGA